ACTTCCCCAGGAGCCTCCAGAAAGGGTCAGAGAAGGAGGTTAGGTGAGCCCAGCAGTGTACGTGGATGCCTAGTCTATATGGGTCCAGCAGGGTTACGGGAGTGGGTCTCAGAGGAAGGGGAGGGGTCATGGGGTGGAGAGGAAGGAGACTGAGGGTCCCAGGAGGAGCCCAGTGGCATTGGGTCCCCTTCCATTGTCTGAAGACTCCTAACAGCTGAAGACATCTTCTTGGAGAACTTCGGTAATAATGGTTGGCGGGTCAAGACCTACCTGTGCTACAGGGAGGCTCCCTTCTTGTATCCGTCCCTCTCTCTCTGCCCCCATCCATTCACGCTCAGATCACCAGCACGGTCCAACCTTGGAAAGTGAGCACAGCTGTTGAGACAGTGGACGGAGACCTATATACATTATGAGGAGTGTCTAACCCATAGTAAGCATTCTAAAGTTGTTTGCTGCTTTCTGTTACTAGAAATCAGTCTCTGAAAATAGGATTACACATCATCTTGCAAAAGTTGTATAAGACTCATTGACTAAAAACTACAAAACATCCTGAAAGGAAAGCAAAGAAGGACCTAAGTAAGCGGAAAGGTATTCAGGCTCATGGACTGGAAGGCTAGATTCCATGCAGTTCTAATCACATTCTCAGGACGATGCTGCCAAGCCAGACTACGTTTCCCAGCATGCCCTTTCCAGTAGATCTGGGTTAGGGTGGGCCAAGGAGAGATTATTCTGGTCAATTGAGAGGGAGGAAGTGAAGCAGCAGCCTTTTCTAGAATGTTCACATGCTGAGCAGCTGACTTCGCTCACATCCTTGGTGTGAAGTCGCAATTTGGGGAACTTCCCCCACATCCTCCTTGAGTTTCAGCAACACCAGAGCCAGGTGTGTGTCCTTAAAAGGTGGTGAAGGGCCCCAGCAGGACACCCAGACCACTAAGTCAGAGGCAAGAACAACTGCTTGGGTTTTTGTGCAGCCTCGCCTGCTGCACAGCCCACACTTGCAGGTTCCAGCTCGTTCTTGCTCTCCCACGTCTTACATCTGCCACCCCTTCCCAGCTGCTTGTCTCGAGGGCTTCAGGCTGCAGCATCAGACATGAAGACACCTTACAGAGGCTGTGTCAGCAGCCCCCACAGTGGTGTGAAGTCAGAGTCCCACAAGAAACCTTTAGATGTGCCATGTGGTCCAGCAACCCCATCCCGGGGATACATCCAGAGGAAATGAGGTCAGTACCTTGAAGAGCTGTCTGCACCCCCTGTGGCCACTGCAGCGTTAGTCACAACAGCCAAGACGTGGAAACAACCTGTGGATCCAACCAGCCACAGATGAGGGGATAAATGCAGGCTACATATGCAATGGAATATCATTCAACCATCAAATAGTTGCCATTTGTGACAACAGGAAAGGACCTTGAGGGCACTGTACAAAGTGATAAGACAGACAGAGAAAAACAGGTGTTTATGGTATCATATAACTTATATGTGGAATAAGAAAAAAAGGCAGAGTCACAGAAACAGAGTGGAATGGCGGTTGTCAGAGCAGGGGGATGGTTCCGAGATGAGATGCTGTCCAGTGATGAGCAGCAGCATGTCCCCTGCTTTGTATCCTGGAGGCCCTGCTCCAGCTGTGCAGAGCGGGTGGCCCAGTTCCTGCAGCAGCACAGGGCCTTCGCCGCCTGCCTCTTCGCCGCCCGCCTCTCCTACTTCTGGGACCCGGCTACCTGGCAGGGGCTTCGCAGGCTGTGTGGCGAGGGGGCCCCGGTGGACATCATGTCCCTGCAAAGTGAGAGCAGAGGTGGAGGGGCAGGGCTGTGGGGTAGACAAGGGGAGGGGCCTCACGTGCCCCCAGGGTGAGTGAGTGGGAGGAGAGCTGGGCACCTGAGGCAGGACAGGGCACCTGGCAGGGGGGAGCCAGGCCCTGAGTGGGAGGGCCCAGGAGGCTCTGGAGACAGAGGCTCCCGGGGCAGGACCTGACTGCTCTCCCCTCTTTATCTGATCTTGAATACTGCTGGGACCACTTTGTGTACAACCAAAGAATGCCCTTCCTACCGTAGAGGAACCTGGATCGGAATTATAATTTCCTGGTCACAGAGCTTGAGGAAATCAGGTGAGGGCCTCCTCAGCCTCCTCCTGCCCTCCTGGGGCCTCAGGCCCGGCCTCCTCTTCCTCCTGCTCCTCCTGCCTCCTCCCCTCAGGGTCTCCGCTCCCCCACCTGCTTCCTCCCGTCTCACCACACTAACCAAACCTTGTTATTAGGCAACATGTACACGGGCATGAATAGCTATGAGTGTGAAAGTCAGATTGTTAGGCTGGAGGAAGGAAAAACAAGGACATGCAAACAGAACAGAGAGAAACCATAGGGGGAGAAGAGACCAGACCCCCAAGGTCTGTGCCTTATATGGAAAGGGGACAGCTCTCCCTGAATTCCATCCTTCTGATGTGCCAACTAAGACCCGGATATCAGCCTCCTCCCTCTTGGAAGGAAACAAAGTTTCTAGTTGTCTATTATGTCACCTTTAGCCAATCATACCTCTCCACGCCCCCTAGGATAGCTTGCCCACTCCTCCCCCTCCTAACCCCTTAGAAGCCCCCACCTCCCTGACCGGGTGTGACTTCCCCGGCCTGTGATACCCAGACCAGGGAACATCACCAGGGAGTGGCACTCAAATAAACTACCTGGCCCTTTGTTGCCCCTCTTCGCCTGCTTATTTCGGCTAAAATTTTTCTTACACAGATGGTTTGAGAAACGTCCTCCAGGACGGACTTGAATCATCAGAGAAAGCAGACCCTCCGCGAGAGGGACGCCTCCTTTGCCCAGGCTTCCGAACGAGGCCGCCCACTCCTGGAGCCCGTCCCCAGGCCTGACTCCCTCCGGGTCTGGGGGCTACAAGGCCAAGGCCCAGGGGTGGCCGCCTTCTTGCTCTGTCCTGCGGGGTCTTCCCTCTGTGCTCGACCCCTGGCGAGGCCTGCCGTCCCTGTGTGTGTCCCCGAGTCCTCCTCTTCAAGGACATCTGTCACCTTGGCTTAGTGCCCTCCTCATTTGAACTTAGTCACCTCTTTAAAGGTTGCATCTCAAATCAGTGACAACGTAGGAAATAGGGGTTGGGACCGCAGCAGATGTATTTGGGGGCTCACTGCTCAGCCCATACAGTGGCCGAGGGCCTTTTTGATCTGAGGGTGCCACGGAGGATTCAGCTTCCCTAGGATGCTCCTGCTTTTCCTTCTGGAGATGGGGGTGGACATAGGACCAGGCAAGCAGGTAGATTTCAGGGTGCACACTTGCCATCTAAGTGACCCACTGCTGACCGGGGAGGCACTGTGTGGGCCGCCACGCCCTCCCCCTGTGTTACTCCCCCACTCCTTTCCCTGCAACAAAGAAGCAGCAGGAGAAGGGAGGCCAGGGGAGGCAGCCGGGCCAGAACTCCTCGACAGCTTTCTAGCTCTACCATGTATTTGCTATGTCCTCCAGACAGTATCCGAACCTCTCTGTGCCTAAGACCTCATCTGAGACGTCAAGAGAATGATCTGCCCCTCTCAGTGCTACTGGGGGGTTGAGGTGGGGTTGCAGGACAGGATGTGTCTCACACACCTGCTTTACGTAGGGTTGGAGACGAAACCCCAGACCACTGACCCCCAGCCTGCATTTCCCATCATACCAGAGGCCCACCAGGGTCCTGAATGACAATTCAGTATAAAGCAGAGGTGGAGTAGAGAAGGTGGCAGCCTACCCTTCCCCCAGGGGAGCTGGAGCTTCCCGGTCTGGCCTGCCCTCTGTCTCTGGCGCCATTTCTTTCTTTCCCTTTGTAACAGCAATGTTGGGTCCTGCTGCACAAAGGGGCCCGTCTCCATCACGGGTGTATCTCTGTCAAGGCGGAGAGCCTGAGAGGAGGAGAAAGAGTGGGTCTGAGCCTGAGGAACTATAGCCACAGGAGGGCCACCACCCCGGCCCCCCACCCACTCCTGGTGCCAAAGCACAAAGGAGGTGAGGCCTCAGGTGAGAGGATCTGCGGGGGCTACTCACATAAAGCCAGGGTCCTGTGAGAGAAGAGGAGCCCCAGAGCCCATGACAGAAGGTCTGGGACAGGCCTGCCTAGCCAGGGGATGCACTGGGTCTCCTGAGACCAGGTGAGTCTGCAGGAAAGTAAGGTGGGTGGGAGTCCAGGAAAACAAACACTCCAGGCCTCCCACCTGGTCTTGGAGGCAGGAAGCAGTGGGTCCACTGCTCTCACAGCTATGGAAGGACACTCAGAGGTAAGAGGCTGTCCCAAGGCTAAGGGCGGTCCTGTGAGAGGGAATGGAGTCGAGCACCCAGTGCCCAGGGCAGGCTCCGACAAGCCTGCCAAGGAGGCTGGGTGGGGCTGCAGGGATCAGGTACCAAGCACCGTCTGCTCTCCTCTCTGCCCAGGGCTCTGCCTTCCTGCCTCCTTCCTGCTCCGTGGTCCTCGGTTCGCATTCTCCAGTGCCTTTTCTGTAGGGTCTGCTCCCACCCCAGGACCCCAGGACCCCCAGCCCCGTCTCTGCAGTAGTCCTGTGCTGCCTCCTGGCCTGTCTCACTGTATCCGGGGCCCTATCCCATATCCCACACATTTTTAGCTATTCAAGGTCAAGCTTCAACATTTGTGCCATTAAGATAGTACACTTGTCTAAAATTTGAAATATTTCAGCCTTGAACGTCTGGGCTTGCCTGGTACTGGGATTTTCCCAGAATGTGGGAACTTCAGTGCTAAAATCAGGAAGATTCCAGGCAAATGGGCAGTGGGTTTCCTAAGCGTGCTATGAATGGGTGTCTTCATTCTAATCCCCACCGAGAGGACAGCCAGTTGCTCTAATGGGGAGTATGAACCTCAGCAGAGGTTACCGGCAGGTAATGAAAGGCCACAGTCCAGAGATGCTTCCTCCAGCAATTGTCACCCAAATCAATCTGCAGTTTTGCTAATTAGCAGAAAAGATGTCACAGATGGGTTTCCATTGATTAAATCATGGCTTTGTTAATTAGCATAACACATCAGAAACGGTCTTTCATTGATGGAATTAGTGGTATTTCAATTAGTTGGCTAGAAATACTGGGGGGAGGCATTTCTGGCCTTGCAAGAACAGGATATGGAAATCAGTTGCTCCCTGCGGTCTGTGCCCTGCGGGATGGCAGCCCTGGCTTGATTCCTGTGTCCAGATGCAAATTCCAAGGGTTTCAATGGTCAGCAAGTCTTAGCTTTGGGAGGAGTAATCCAGAAGAATGGTGGGCTGGTGGTCCAGCAAGCTTCCCAAGTTTGTTCAGATGTTTGGCACCCGCTTGGTCGTGAGTGTCCACACGCAGAGGGCTCCCACCAGAGCAAGCCTTTATGCACCTCCCCGGGGCACAGCAGGAAGGCTCCTAGTTCTTTCTGTCCACCTAATCTATCTGTGCAGAGCCAAGAGCATCTGTGAAAAAGAATCCAGTGGTTCTGCATCTGCGCATGGGCCGGGTCACTCTGCAATGTGATATTAAATGAAAGAAAGCAAGATACAAAATGGAATGATCTATGGAGTATCATCACAGTTAGAGGGAGGAAATGCTACAAGTCTTTCAGCCAAGTCTCTGTCACATCCTCCCTTGGTGGTAACCATTTTTCCTGCTCACCTGTCTCTGTGCTCTTTGTAGAGACACAGGTGTGACATCCACGCCTAAGCAAAGAGCAGGGATCTAGAGGAAGCACCAGCCACCCCCTCAGTCCCCAAAGAGAAGGGCACTCCAGGGTTGAGATTCCCGTGGGACCTGAGAACAGAAGAGTCTGGGGCACAGGGCAAAGATGTGTGAGCTGAGAAGGGACATGTGATATCCAGTTCTCAGGAAGCCCCACTCAGCCCAGGCAGCCTTCACGCGTCAGCCTCCAGCAAGGGCAATGGTGGGTGGCGGGTGCTTGGCCAGGCTGGAGCAGGGAGGCAGCCAGCACAGGCGGGAGAGCTCACCCTCTTCCCCTTCCCCAGTCCTCCTGGCCAGTGAAGGAGGAGGAGACCACCTTCCCTTACTCCCCCGCAGAAGCCCAAGTGGACCCATGGAATTGTGTTTGGAAGGTGACAGAAGGTGGGATGACACCAGAAGATGCTCTCTGCATGTTGGATTTTCTCCTTCCTGTTGCACAGAAATACAGTACTGCTGCTGAAAGCAAGCTTATTCTGCCTCCAGTGTGACAACCAGCTCAGGCTGATGAAGCCCTACTGCCAGAGGAGAACCTACTTGTGCTACCAGCTGAAGCTTGCCAATGCCCCTCTTGACAAAGACTATTTTTGGAACAAGGTGCCAAGTGGGCTCTGGGCCAGGAGCTAATCTGTCCCATGTGCGGGGAACACGCTGAGGCTTAGCTGGGTCTGAGCTACCCCAGCTTCCCCGGACTCTCCACGTTCTTTCCCAACGCCGGGCCTCTGCAGAAGCAGAATGCTCTTCCTGCCCCTCTTTGAGAAGATAATGTTTACACTTCTGCGTCACCGCTCAGTCACTGTTTGTGGGCAGCCTGGTGCTCTTCCAAGAACTGAACGCTGAGCTTCACCTGCAAGAACTCCAACATACACCTGTCCCCTTGCTTTTCCGCCTCTCTCTCAACCTGCCCTGTCCCTCCTTCCTCCCACACTGACCTGCTCCTTGGGGACGCTATGTTCAAACATCTTCAGACAGCGTCCCAGGCAAGTGTCCAAAGGTGAGGTCTGCAAAGCATGGGCGATCATACCACAGGGGTGTCTGTTTGCTGACCCACCTCCTCCTGTGGGTGCTGGGACCCTGGTCTGGTCTGGGTCAAGCTGTGGGTGCTTTGGGACTGCTGAGTCAATGGATGAGTGAGTGAATTAATTGATCATGAGGGAAAGAAGGAGGTTCTTTCCCTGTCCTAGGCCAGTTTACATGCTCAGAAGTTCACAGGGCAGAGCCCCTCACTCCCGATTCCACCCTCAGGACATAACCTCTGGCCTCTGCCTTCTAACCAACCCTTCCTTTTCTCTGTCAGGAACCCCACGCCTAGAAAAAGCACCATGCAGACATTTGCTTTCTTAACAAGATCAGGTCACTGCAGCTGGACAAAACTCAGAGCTAGTCTGTTGGTGCTAACATCGTTTGCCCACTTCATGTCTCTGTCACATTTTGGTAATTCTCACAATATTTCAAACTTTTGCATATTGTTGTATTTGTTATGGTGTCTGTGATCAGCAACTACAACTCACTGAAAGCTCACATGATGGTTAGCATATTTTAGCATCAAGTATTTTTAAATTAAGATCTGTACATTGTAGACATAATGCCAGTGCATACTTTATATAGAGTACAATATAGTATACGCATGGCTGTTATATGCACTGGGAAACAAAAAAATTCACTTGACTCATGCAATATTTGCTTCATCATGAGGTTCTGAAATGAAGCCTACAATCTCTCTGAGGTATGCCTGCACAGCAGACTGGGTGATGGACAGGTGGAAGCTGGCATATGCACAGCTTGGAAGTTGAGAGATTGGGTCAGCACACCCAGGGGCAACCCTCAACCAGCGACGGATGGCACCCGCTGGGTGATGCTCCCCGCCTCATCCTTTGAGAATGGACAGCTCTGGGGACATCTGTCTATTTCTCAGGCGGTCTCAGGTGGAATGACACATTAGTTGCCTTAATGGTGACCTGGTAACACACCTTCTAATGGCTTTTCCTCCTTTCTTGACCCATTCCAACCCCTCACCCCTGCTCCTTGGATCACTTCCTAAATATGCCCCTTTATAAAATCTTTTACTTAAGCTCTGCTTTTGGAGGTGACCAAAGTGATCTCCAAACCTGCTTCTCCCCATTTAGCCTCCATCAGACAAAGAACCACCCTTTACCCAGTCGTCCAAACTGGAAACCTGCACATAATCGTGACACCTCCCTCACCTTCGCACCAAATTTTTGGCATGTCTTGACAATTCTATGCATAAGGGTATCGCCAGCCCATCCATTCTGCACCCCCTTTCACTGACACGCCCATGGCTGTGGTCTCCACCCCCACACCCCACACCTGAGTGGCCACAGCAGCCTCTTCCCTCTTCTGCCTGCTACCAGCCCTGCCCACTCCCTCCCAGGATCTACTCTCAGGCAGGGAAGCTCAGTGCAGGTAAGCCTGGGGGGCTCTCCCATCTCCCGCTCAGTTTTGGTCTGACCACCACTCGCTGGGGTCAGGCAGGTGTGCTGGGCTTGGCCAAACAGAACAGTAGGTGAGGGCTCGCCTGGCCGCCCCTGGGTTCCCGCGGCAGGAAGCAGAGAAAAGGTGGAGGAGAGAGCAGAAGCGCGGCCCACTCCCTGCAGGGGCCGTAACAGGGGCCACTGCCCATCTTCACGCCCTCTTCCACGTCCCAACCACTTTCTTGCCCACCACCCAAATCAATCTTCACTGTATGTCTGGGGGGCTTAGAAAACTGACCACCACCACATACACCTCCAGACTAACTTTCTGAGATCACGGTCAGTAACTCATGCACCTGGGGTCTAAATCTCAGGCTGCCACCCCGGGGCTGGAGGTGGCGCCATCAGAGAGAAGGCTCGAAGACAAGAGCTTTTTTTAAAATCATCTTTAATGTATTCTTAATAATTTTTTGCCTTGTTTACCAGATAAATCATCTAAATAAATAGATGCTATACAGTCTCTTACCAATATCAGTACAAAAATAAAACCGTGCTCTGCATCCACTCTCGCTCCCCAGCACACTTAGAAAAGGCATGTGCTTGGAATCAACTCGTGCCCCCAACCCCTCCCGAATACATTCATTTTGTCTGAACAAAGCTCAACGCTCATTCTGTGCAAAGAAAGTGTTCTCATGCTGAGACCTGGAGGCTGGGCTGGCCACTTATAAAGCAGAAGCTGGACCACCTTACGCAAGCATAGCGCCACCCCCCGAGCGGGAGAGGAGGAGAAAGCTGGCGATGGGGTTGCCACCCGGAGTGTTGCGCACCGGGGCGCCCAGCAGGCCTCGGCCGCGGCACTGTAAGTGGCCATGCCAGGGGTGGGGGGACACTCTCCACACCCCATCCCACAGCAAAAGAAAAGTACCAACTGGTCTCTCTACATTCAAGATGGATGGGGGCTGAGGGAAGGAAAGACAGGTGGTCCAACTCTCTGAGCCCCCAACCCCCATGAGTACTGGCCTTCTGGGGTGGGCGACAGAGCAGGAGGTCAGTGGGCTCCTTGCTACACCCTGCTGGGACACTCAGGGCCACACCCAACTCCTCCCAGAGGTCTCTGTCCTGGGTAGGGCAAGGTCCTAACAGCACAGAGCCCTTTCCCCAGGGAGCCCTGGCTCCCCAGGTCCCCTTCCTGAGACGCATGGAGCTCTGTGGGCCCCAAAGGGCTAAGTAAGAGGCAGGAAGTGTTCTCCTGCAGCAAACAGAATCAAAGGAAAGCCCCCAAACCCCAAGCCCGCGGACTGCACCAACAGTTCTGTGAAAGTGCCAGTGACGCAGGAAGAGAGGTCCCATGTCCTCACAGGGAGGAGGACTATGACTTCTTTGGGAAGCTGCCACCAGAGGCCCAAATCCACGGCCACCATCTTCTAGTTCTGGAGAGGCCCCCTCCGCCGCCCACTGCCCTCCACCACCCTCCCCTCTGCTGGGAGCCCCTGTCCTGGGAGAGCTCCCACCTCCAGGCTGCCCCTCCCCTCCCCAGCGCCCCACGGCTGGGTGGGCGGGGTTTCTGCTGCCCCTCTTTTCCCTGACCCACCCCCACATGCACCTCTAGACTAGCTCTTAGGCTGGGGATGAATCAAGTCACCCAAGAGGGGTCCATCCCTCAGTGGAAGCACTGAATTGACCCTGGACAAAGATGGATTAAGGAGGAAGGGGAGAGACTCAGGGACTAGGAACTTGCCAGCAGGGCACCCCAAACAAAAATGGGGTGCTGGCTGTCTTTGGTTTGGGAACTCAGGGAGAAGGGGCCTGGGAGAAGAATGGCCCTGGCCTTGCCTCAGCAGGGGGTGTGTGGACTACCTCGGGGCAAAACAGAGTGGGGGTAAGCCTGGGAGAGGGCAGGTGGGGTGCAGGACCCGAGGGCCCCGCCTCTGACAGTGGGATGGGTGGAGGGAGCCGGCCTTACATGCCCCTCCTTTGCCCTCCCCCAGGCTGACTTTCTCCCTACATAGGGCCAGGGTAGGGAACAAGTCACTCTTCACTGCCAGGGGTGCTTCTAGCCCACAGGCATATTTGCGGCGACTAGAAAATGAGCGCCCCTCCTCCTGGGGGGCACAGCCCCTTGCCGGGCGTGGGGCTTGTGCACCTCCTGGCCCACCGCCCACTGCAGCCTGACTGCAGGAAGACACGGCAGAGGTGCCCTCACAGGAACACAGGGTCAGTCCCAGCAGGGCCTTAGGGCAGATGGGGGCGAGTGTCAGCAGCAGTCGGGGCTCCCTCCCTCCCCGACAGCCCGTACCCACCCAGGGCTTGGCTGAGCTGGATGGGAGGGCAGAGAAAGGGGAGAACGGGATGGGCTGAAAAGTCACCTGAGTCCGAGAGAACAGGAGCCCCTCGGGGGAAGAAAGGCCAGACCCCCTCATAGCCTGTGCTGATGCCTGGCACACCTGCGGCTGGCCAGGTGAAGCCACAAAACCACACCTGCACGCCTGGAACGTGGCGGCTGTCTCACCCGCATGCCAGACCCCTGCCCTCTGCTGACAGCTGTGAGCAAGCTGAGCTGGGACAGAGGTGCCCCACGGGGTGCCCTGCAAGGTGGGGTGAGTGTGGGGTGCCTGCAGCAGGTTCTTTTGTGCTGTCAATCCCCCCATGCTCACCTGGTCACGGTTTCCAGACAGGAGGTATGGAGACACGTGCACAGGCAGGAGGGCACAAGGGTGGGACAGTGTGCACATCTGTGCGGATGGGTGTGCTCACGAGTGTTCCTCACAGGCCGGGCGTGGGGCGCAGAACTCTGAGCAGAAGCCACTCTGCTCAGCCGCAGCTGCCACCAGAGGAGAGGCAGAGTCTCCCCGGAGGATATGGGATGCACTCGTCACCTCCAACCCTCCTCTCTGACCTGGTCACTTCTGGTCACAGCCAGCTTCTACATCCCACCATGAAGCTGGAGTGAAAAGTTACAGACAAAGAAAGGACAAGGGGAGCCGAGCAGGAAGGCTGGGGTGGGCTGCTCTGGGAAGGGCTTGGGTCTCCCGTCCTTGAGCTCCTAGAACAGCCGCCGCACCTCCAGAGAACGGGGACGGCGGTGTCCATCCAGGGGCCGGTGGCCCTGTCTCCATCCTGCCCTGGAGAGGCTCCCCGACTCACAGGGAAGCTCCAGGCCTCTCCAGCCCCCCAAACAGACCCTGAGGCCCCTCTGTAAACATGACACGCAGAGCAAGCGCAGGGTGGTGGGGAAGTGTTGTGTCTTCCCCCTTCTCCTGTAACATATGCTTTTAAATAAAATAATTAACCCGCCCCCAACCCCTCCCCATCTCTGGAAGTTCCCACCCCAAGCCCAAAAGAAAACAGTTTAAGAAGAGTAAAAACGGTGATTCAGAACTTCCCACTGCGGTCTCGGAAGAAGCCCTCAGCTGCCTGGGCCTCACGGAAGGTGACGGTGATGGAATTGGCGGTGATATCGGTCACTGTCACTTCACTTGGCGGGAGCGCAGGTGTCCAAAGAGGGGGCCCCTCGGCCAGATCTGCATCAACTGTAGCCACGGGAGAGACACGGGGGACAACACTGACACAAGGTGGAGAAGAAGGGAGCAGGGGGCTGTGTGCAACCCACGCCCCACACCAGGTCTTCCTGAGGCCCCCGCCAGCTTAGGGCCACCTCAAGGCAGGGCACACGGGAGGAGATCACTACACTTATCCTTCCTGGCTGGGCAAGAGTTTGTCTGGAGCAGCACCACAGAAAGAACTGTGGGCTGGGCGCCAGGGTCCCTGCAGGCTATGTGGCCTCAGGGGCACCCTCAGACCATTCCAATGACACTTGTTCCTGATGACTTAAGAGACCTTTCTAGCCCTGAGGGTCTGTGGGCCTGGCTCTCTTACCCTCCTCTTCAGGGGGCTGCTCAGCAGGCTCCCACTCGCCGGCCAACTGCAGGACCTCCGGGGCTGGTGACTCCTGCAGGAAGAGCTCCCGTGGATGGCTGTGACTCTCCAGGTCGGGCCCACGGGGCGGG